CGGAACCCGGATCCTCTTCAAAAACAACGGGGCTGGCACCGCCCCTCGATGCCGGCACGCGCTTGGCCGGGTCGCTCGACCGGGCCAAGCCCCGCAAGCCGGCCAAACTAGCCGACTCGGCAAGACACGTCAACTCGGCCCCAACAACTGGCGCAAGACAGCCGAACCCGGCACGACCGAAGCCTCCTCAGCAAGCCAGCGCCACCCGTGGCGTGCTACGCAATCCAGCCACGGGTCAACTCCCGTCATCCAGGCCGTATGATGGGACGAGACTTCAATCAAAGATGACCGAAGCAACAGTGCCCCGCCCATGCCTCTGGTCAGCCATAACGTGGCAACAGTGCCCCTCACCTACCCGCTAACCAGGGCTGGCGTGGCTACAGTGCCCCTGCCTTCACCGTTGACGACAGCAAGCGGCAACCTGACGGGGAGCACTGTACGCGACTCGACTCGGCCATGACATGACGATCGACAAGACGGCGCACAGTCCCCCTAGGCCTACGGGACCCGCACCTAGGGGAACCCGGCGAACCACAAGCTCTCAGCGGGACCCAGCCCGGGTTCCCGGACACCGACTATACTGACCCACCGACGTGCAACATTACCATTGTACCCCCGGGGGGATGGACTATAAAACCCCCTGGGCGCCTACAATCAGGGGGGATGATCTCTCAGAGGAACGATCTCTCTCAAAGGCAAGCGAGAGAGCAAGCAGAAAACACGCAGGCATAGGACTAGCCACAAAGCAGCAACACCGGAGAGAAGGAGCAGCCCAAGCCTTGGCCAGCATCCTTCCTCCCCCATACAGCTCCAGGAGCAACATTGTATTATCAATCATCCAACTACACTCGGCAGGACTAGGGATATTATCTCTCCGGAGAGCCTTGAACCTGGGTATGTCCGGCGTCCCGCGCCCGCTCATGCCAACCCTGCCTCTGGAGTCCACCAGCGCCCTCGAGCCTCCTCCTCCTCTCTTTAGCCATCCCTTGATATCTGCCGTGAACCCACCACGACAGCTGTGCTGGCCGTCACCTTGGCCATCCCTCTAGAAGCCCCGCCGCATCGGAAAACAACACCGGCGATCCCTTGCACCCCTACCCCCTAAGATAGATAATGGAGACACCATGGATTCCCCCTAAGTAAATAGGGGGTTGTCTTCTCCGGCGAGGTCCGACATGAAGGTAGGAAGAAGGTGGCTGATGCGAGAATTTTTTTTTCAGGTACATGAGAAAAGCAAAACGGAAAAGCTAAACAGCGAGCACAAAGGACTAGCTCAGGCATTGCTGTGTGTTCCCAAGTGGCTGATTGGCTGTGCGATCTCCATGGACGGTGTCGTGCTTCCCATTCGGCGGTGCGTTGCTCCATCCTTTACTCTACAAGAGAGCCGCCATGTCACGACCCTCTGTC